CTAGGACCTCTGGGTGATGAGAAGTTCCCCCCAACAAGTCCAATGGCAGTCTTTTGTCAGTAAACCAAACAGTAAGTTATCTGCCCCATACACATCAAACAAAGCTTTGGGAATCAAACAGGAGAGTAATGATTTAAAACCCCTATGATGGCCGAAACCGGTTTGGCTCAGTGGATGGAGTGTCGGCCTGCGGACTGAAGGGTCCCAGGTTCAATTCCGGTTAAGGGCATGTACCTGGGTTGCGGGCATATCACCAGTAGGAGATGTGCAGGAGGCAGCTAATCGATGTTTCTCTCTCATCGATGTTTCTAACTCTCTATCTCTCTCCCTTCCTCTCTGTAAAAAATCAATAAAATATATTTTAAAAAAAACAACCCTATGATGAAATTGCCCTAGCTAGTTTGACTCAGTGGATAGAGTGTTGGCCTAAGGCAGTGGTTCTCAATCTTCTGGCCCTTTAAATACAGTTCCTCATGTTGTGACCCAACCATAAAATTATTTTTGTTCCTACTTCATAACTGTAATGTTGCTACTGTTATGAAGCGTAATGTAAATATCTGATATGCCGGATGGTCTTAGGCGACCCCTGTGAAAGGGTCGTTCGACCACCAAAGGGGTCGCAACCCACAGGTTGAGAACGACTGGCAAAGGACTGAAGGATCCCAGATTTGATTCCAATCAAGGGTACATACCTCGGTTGCAGGCTCAACCCCCGGCCCTGGTTGGGGCCTGTGTGAAAGGCAACCAATCGATGTGTCTCTCTCACATTGATGATTCTCTCTCCTCCTCCTCCTCCTCCTCCTCCTCCTCCTCCTCCTCCTCCTCCTCTTCCTCCTCCCTTCCACTCTCTAGAAATCAATGGAAAAAATACCCTCTGGAGAGGATTGACCAAGAAAATAAAAATAAATAAAATCCCTATAATAAAATGAGAAGAGTTAACACTGAGCAGTCCCTGGTCATTAGCAAATGGCAAATCTTTCCAGGCAGACTATTAAAGAATTTCTTCTCTGGGAATAGAGAGTGCTTCTCTTTAAAAAAAAAAAAATATATATATATATATATATATTATTGATTTCAGAGAGGATGGGAGAGGAAGAGAGAGAGAGATAGAAACATCAATGATGACAGAGAATCATTGATTGGCTGTCTCCTGCATACCCCCTACTGGGGAGCAAGCCAGCAACCGGGCCACACGCCCTCACCAAGAATTGAACCATTACCTCCTGGTTCATAGGTTGATGCTCAATGACTGAGCCAAATCAGCCAGGCGAGTGAGCTTCTTTTGCTCAAGAAAAACTCAGGATGTTATTAGAAGGTACTTACTTGCAACTAGTAGATAAATAAGTCTTAAAAATCTAACACACATACAGTAATTATAGAGAACAAAACTGTATTATAAGCATTAAACTTGCTAAGATACTAGATCCTAATTGTTCCCACCACTGAAAGAAATGATTCATCATGTAACATGACAGAAGGGTTAGCTAATGCTACAATGGCAATTTTATTGCAACATTAATTTATCAAATTACTAGGTTCTACCAGCATACCCTGGAGATATTGTCAGTTTGGTTCCAAACCATGGCAATAAAGTGAATATCACAATCACATAAATTTTTTGGTTTCTAAGTCCATGTGAAAGTTACATTTACACAATACTGTAGTCTACTAGGTGTGCACTCGCATTATGTCTTATGTACATACCTTAATTAAAAATACTTTATTGCTAAAAAAAAATGCTCTCGTCTGAAATATGGCACCAATAAAACTAAGAAAATAATCCCGTGTGCAATTGTATTTTTTTTTTAAAAATGAAGAATAAATTTAACCAAGATGGTAAAAGACCTGTACTCAGAAATTTATAAGATACTGAAGAAGATACAAACACACAGAGACCCAAGATAGTGGCCTAGATAAACAGAGGTACTTTCATCCTCCCACAACCACATCAAAATTACAACTAAAATACAGAACAACCATCATTCAGAACTGCCTGAAATCTGGCTGATGGAAGTCCTACACCTAGAGAAGTAAAGAAGAAAGCACACCGAGACTGGTAGGAGAGTGGATGCCTGGAACAGGCTGGTCTGACACCCATGCATGGCTTTTTTCAGTTGGGAGGTATATCTCTGCTGCAGAGGACTCCCTTGAGGAGTAAGGGGTCCCAGCCCCACACCAGACCTCCAGCCCACGGTTTCAGAGATGGAAAGAGAAGTCCCCGTAACTTCGGGCTGGGAAAGTGGCTGAGTGACACAAAGGCAGTTGGAGCCCCAAGCAGTTCCTCTTAAAGAGCCAGCACACGAACTTCCATGGACTCACTCCCTCTGAGCTCCAGAGCTGGGACAGCAGCTTGAGGGGATCCAGGGGCATACGGAGAGGAACTGGATAGTCTACCATTGGAACAAGAACTAAAGGGTGGCTTTCTCCCAGACAGGGGTGCTTGCAGGGGTCATTGTTCCCATACTGAGACCTCACCTATTGCAGAGCTGACACAGCCATATCTGAGTTTCCATCAGTCTAGCTCACAATGTTCGCCCCACCCTGGTGATTCCCTGAGACCCTGCCCCATTCCATTTGCAGCCGCACCCAAGCTGTTTGCAGCAGCTTTTCTGTATGAATGGCTTGTCCCGGATCAGGCTTCATACTCTCCTAAAATTTCTCAAATAAGCAGCACTTAACTATCAATAAGTGACCCAAGACAGTTTGGCCTTGCCTGGGCACTTCTACGCCCAACACAAGTAACAACCATCTGCAAATATCTCTGTAGTTCCTGCTGGGTGGCCCCAAACAGTGGCTGACTTTGCACCTCCTGGGAGGCCCCAGAGCCAGTGCTCCCAGTGGATAGCTTCAGACCACAGCAGATTACAACTCTACACATCCACAAGTGACACACTCAAGGAGCAGACACAGTGAGCACCAAAGCCCCACTGAAGCAAATCCTGATCTATAGGGGTGTCTCCTGCACAGTAGCTCTCCCACTATAGTTATAGCTGGTCCTCACAGCCAATTGGCCTGAAGGTCATTAGCCCTCAGTGACGCCAACAGCAATCAAGGCTCAACTACAACAAGACTGTGCACATAGCCCACACAGGGGTGCACCTAGAGTGCCCAGCTCAGGTGACTGGGGAGGCTGAGCCACTGGGCCCTACAAGATACCTACTACACAAGGCCAATTTCAGGAGACATAGCAGCTCTACCTAATGTGTAGAAACAAACATAGGGAAGCAGCCAAAATGCAGAGACAAAGAAACATGAAATGAAAGAACAGAAAAAATCTCCAGAAAAAGAACTAAATGAAATGGAAGCAAGCAAACTACCAGATCAGCGGTCACCAACATTTTGGACCTCACTGACCACCAGTGGTCATCGGATCACCAGTTGGAGACACTGTACTAGATATAGAGTTCAAAACAATGGTTAATTAGGTTGCTCAAGGATCTTAATGAGAGCTTCAAGGGACTTAGTGAGACTTTCAAGGATCTTAGTGAGAATTTCAAAGACATGAAAAAGGACCAGTCAGAAATGAAGGATGAACTGACTGAAATAAAGAAGAATTTATAGGGCTCCCATAGGAGAGTAGAGGATTTTGACAATCAAATAAATGATTTGAATATGAGAAAGCAAAAACACCCAATCAGAAGAGCAAAAAGAAAAAAAAAGAATCCCAAATATGAAGATAGTGTAAGGAGCCTCTGGGACAACTTCAAGTGTAACAACATTCACATTATGGGGGTGCCAGAAGGAGAATAGAGAGAGCAAGATATTGAAAATGTATTTGAAGAATTAATGACAGAAAACTTCACATACATGGTGAAAGAAATAGACTTACAACTTCAGGAAGTTCAGAGAGTCCCAAAAAAGAGGAACCCAAAGAAGACCACTCCAAGACACATAATTAAAATGTCAAAGGTTAAAGACTAAGAGAGAATTTTAAAAAGAGTAACAGAAAAGCAGTTAGTAAGAAGAAGAAGAAGAAGAAAAAGGTCAAGTATATGAACAATAAAATGGCAATAAATACATATCTATCAACAATTGAATCTAAAAATCAAAATAAATGAACAAGGAATCTAATGAGCAAAATAAAATGCTGAATAAAATAGAACCAGAGGCATAGAAACATGGAACAGGCTGATAAGTCTCAGAGGGAAGGGGGGAGGAGAGGCAAGAAGAGATTAACCAAAGAACTTATACGCATATTTACCTATGGAAACAGATAATAGGGTGGTGAAGGCCTGGGGTAGAATGGGAACTGGATGGAGGGAGGCAATGGGAGAAAAAGAGGGGCATTTTAATACTCTCAACAATAAAGATTTTAAGAAAAGAAAATACAAATAAATGAAAGCATATAGCACGCTCATAAATAGAAAGAATTAACATCATTAAAATGTTCATACTACCCGAAGAAGTCTATCATTTCAACACAATCCCTATCAAGGTACCACTGGCATTTTTTATAGAACTAGAACAAATATTCCAAAAATGTATGTGGAGCCACAAAAGACCCTGAATAGCCAAAGCAATATTGAGAAAGAAGAACGAAGTTGGAGGTATCATTCTACATAATATAAAACTATACTACACAGCCATAGTAATCAAAACAGCATAGTATTGGCATAAAACAGACATATAGATCAATGGAAAAAAGAGAGAGCCCAGAAATAAACCCATGCCTATATGGTCAATTAGTATGTGACAGAAGATGCAAAAAAGATACAGTGGGTTAAAGAAAATCTATTCAATAAATGGTGTAGGGAAAACTGGACAGATACATGCAAAAAAAATGAAAGTAGACTACTTTCTTGCACCATATACAAGAATAAACTTGAAGTGGATTTAAGATTTAAATGTAAGACACAAAACCATACAACTCCTTATAAATAGGCTGTAAACTCTCTGATATTAATTGTAGCAATATTTTTTCTGATCTATCTCCACAGGCAAGGGAAACAAAGGAAAAAAAGCAAACAAATGAGACTACATCAAACTAAAATGGTTTTTCAGTGCTCGCTTCGGCAGCACATATACTAAAATTGGAACAATACAGAGAAGATTAGCATGGCCCCTGTGCAAGGATGACACACAAATTTGTGAAACGTCCCATCTTAAAAATTTTAAAAAAGGGTTTTCACAGTAAAGAAAACCATGAACACAATGAAAAGACAACCCACTGAATGAGAGAACATATTCACCAATGATACATCTGATAAGGGGTTAATATCCAAAATTTCTATAAAAAAAAAAAAACATAAAACAACACTAAATAAACACTAAATAAATAAATAAATAAATAAATAAATAAATAATTTTTTTAAAGATCCAATTTAAAAATGAGCAGAGGATCTGAATAGACACTTCTCCAAAGAGGCCATACACCAAGGCTACTCTCTGTGCTTCTTGGACTTGTAAATCTATTTCTTTCACCAGGTATAGGAAATATTCTCTCACTATTTCTTCAAATAGGTTTTCAATATCTTGCTCTCTCTCTCTCTCTCTCTCTCTCTCTCTCTCTCTCTTTCTCCATCTGACATCCCCTGTAGCGTGAATGTTGGTACACTTGAAGTTGTCCCAGAGGCTCCTTACACTATCTTCATATTTGGGGATTTTTTTTTCTTTTTGTGCTCTTCTGGTTGGGTGGTTTTTTCTTCCTCATATTTGAAATCATTGATTTGATTCTCAGAATCTTCTAATCTACTATGTAATCCCTTTAAATTCTTCTTTATTTCAGTTCGTGTATGCTTAATTTCTGATTGGCCCTTTTTCATGTCTTTGAAATTCTCACTAAGATCCTTGAAAGTCTTACTAGTCTCTTGAAGCTCTCATTAAGTCCCTGAAGCTCTCATTAAGATCCTTGAGCAACATTATAACCATTGTTTTGAACCCTGTATCCAGTAATTTGCCTGCTTCCATTTCTTTCGTTTGAGACATGTTTCTTTGTCTCTGCATTTTGGCTGCTTCCCTATGTTTGTTTCTACACATTAGGTAGAGCTGCTATGTCTCCTGAAATTGGCCTTCTGTGGTAGGTGTCTTGTAGGGGCCAGTGGCTCAGACACCCCAGTCACCTGAGCTGGGCACTCTAGGTGCACCCCTGTGTGGGCTGTGTGCACAGTCTTGTTGTAGGTGAGCCTTGATTACTATTGGAGTCACTGGGAGGAATTGGCCTCCAGGCCAATTGGCTGTGAGGACCAGCTGCGACTACGATGGGAGAGCTACTGTGCAGGAGACGCCCCTATAGATCAGGACTTGCTTCAGTGGGGCTTTGGTGCTCACTGAGTCTGCCCCTTGAGTGTGTTGCTTGTGGATGTGTAGAGTTGTAATCTGCTGTGGTCTGAAGCTATCCACTGGGAGCACTGGCTCTGGGGCCTCCCAGGAGGTGCAAAGTCAGCCACTGTCTGGGACCACCCAGCAGAAGCTACAGAATGATCTTCAGATGTCTGCTACTTGTATTGGGCTTGGAAGCCCCCAGGCAAGGCCCAGCTGTGAAGTAAGGTAGACTGGTGCTAGTGCCGGGTCTTGGGCCTCTTATTGATACGTATGGGGCATGCTGATGTCAGCTGCTGCTTGTTTAAGGGATTTTAGGAAATCTGAAGCCTGAACCAGGACAAGCCATTCATATGGAAAAGCCACTGCAAATAGCTTTGATGCAGCTGCAAATTGGATGGGGTGGGGTCTCAGGGAATCACCAGACAAACAGTGTAAGCCAGGCTGATAGAAACTCAAATATGGCTGCCAGTCAACTCTGTGGCAGAAGAGGTCTCAGCACAGGAACAATGACACCTGCAGGCACCCCCATCTGGGAGAAAGCTGCCCCTGAGTTTCTGCCCCCATGCCAGACAATCCAGTTCCTCTCTGAATGTCCTAAGTTCCTTTCAAGCCTCTGCCCCAGCATTGGAGCCCAGAAGTATCGAGTCCAAGTAATTCATGTGCCAGCCCTTTAAGAGGAACTCCCTGGGTCTCCAGTATCCTCCGTGTCACTCAGCCACAATCCCTGCTGGTTTTTACAGCCCAAAGTTACCGGGACTTCTCTTCCCAGCACTGAAACCCTGTGTTATGGGATCTGGTGTGGGTCTGGGACTCCTTGCTCCTCACAAAGGCGTCTGCAGTCACAATATCTCTCCCGGTTTAAAAAAAAACACCATCGCGATGTTGGGCTAGCCATTCTTCACCTCTGCCCCTCCTACCAGTCTCTCTGTGCTTTCTTCTTTACGTTTCTAGTTGTAGAACTTCCATTCTGCTAGATTTCAGGTGTTTCTGAATGATGGTTGTTCTGTATTTTACTTGTAATTTTGATGTGGTTGTGGGAGGCAGCGAGGACTGGTGTTTACTTACGCTGCCATCTTGGTTCCTTCTAGTCATTTTTATATTCAAAACCTATATAATTTTATTAACCAATGTCGCTCCAGTAAATTCAGCAAAAATTTAAGTAAATAACTAAATAAGATGAGGTATTCCTGTATCCCTGAAACTGACACAATGTTATATGTCAATTGTAGCTCGATTTTTGTAATGGTTTAAAAAAAAAAACAGGAATAAATTTGAAAACTTAAAACGTATTTTGTTTGTTAACTTGCAAGAGTCTCACCTTCAGAGAACTTGCTCTCAAAAATAAAATTTGATGCATATGAGCATGACCAATGGACACAGACAATAGCGGGGTGGGGACACGTGCTGGGGGGCAGGAGAGGGCAGGGAGAGGTCAATGGGGGTCAATGGGAGAAAAAGGAGACATATATAATACTTTCCACAATAAAGAATTTAAAAATAATAATAATAATAACAATAATAATATTAATATTTGACATGTATTTAAAAGCTAAACCCACAAAAGTTTGGTTATTATGTTCAACATTCTAATTGGTGGAGGAAAATAGTAGTTCCTCACTGTGGTTCTGTGTAGGTGCCAGTACTGCAAAATATCAGCAAAACAGGCACATTGTTTTCTTTTAAGAAGTCAGCAACATATGGGCCTGTATTCATTGTCTATTGCTATGAAAAAATTATCCAAAAACTCAGTGGCTTGAAACAACATTTATTATCTCTCAGTCCTCTTACAAAGCTGAAGTCAAGATAGCAGGTGGGGCTGTGGTCTCATTGGAAAGCTTGACTGGGAGAGGCTGCTCTTCCAGCCTCACTCACAAGGTTGTGGCAGGATTCAGCTCCTCACAGGCTATTGGCCAGAGACTGCCCTCCATTCCTTTTACAAGGGTCTCCCCAACATGCAGCTCATGTCCTCAACATGTGAAAACCAAGGCAAGTTAGGAGATGATCTTTGAGACGAGAGTCCACTGTTCTCCCAGGTTGTCACCTGAATAAACCTCTTTCCTTTTGCACCAGAAAAAAAAAAAGGCAAGTGAGACAAACCAGGGAGAGAACACAGCCAAAGTCATAGGCTTTTTGTAATCTAATCTCAGAAGAGACCTCCTGTCACTGTTGTCATATTCTATTCATTAGAGGTGAGTCACTTCATTCACCAGATAAATAGAAGGGACACTTCTAATGAAAGACTCAGTGAAATATAACCAGAAACAATGAAACAGACATCAATACATCAGTGGAGTGAGAAAAACAACAAGTAACAGAAGGCTTAATGAGGATAAATACAAGATGGAGAGGCTCAGCTTGAACAAAGCGGTCACATTAATTGAAAGAGTGGTCCTTATGTGGTGAGAGCCAGATTCTGTATGGAGCAGCTGCTCTCAGAAGGAAAGAGTAATGAGCCCTAGCCAGTTTTATTCAATGGTTAGAGCTTGAGCCTGTGGACTGAAAGGTCATGGGTTCGATTTCAGTCAAGGGCACATACCTTGGTTGCAGGCTCGATCCCCCACCCCGACCAGGGTGCATGTGGGAGGCAACCAGTCAGTGTGTCCCTCTCGCATCAATGTTTCTCTTTCTCTCTGTCTCTCCCCCTCCCTTCCATTTTCTCTAAAAAAAAAAAAATCAATGGTAAAAATTATCCTCTGGCCCTAACCGGTTTGGCTCAGTGGACAGAGTGTCGGCCTGCGGACTGAAGAGTCCCAGGTTTGATTCCGGTCAAGGGCATGTACCTTGGTTGTGGGCACATCTCCAGCAGGGGGTGTGCAGGAGGCAGCTGATTGATGTTTCTCTCTCATCACTGTTTCTAACTTTCTATCCCTCTCCTTTCCTCTCTGTAAAAAATCAATAAAAATATTTTTTTAAAAATTATCCTCTGATGAGGATTAGCAAAACAAAAAAATAAAGAATGAAAGAATAATTAATTCCTGTCAAGGTATCGGCCTTTCAGCCTCCAGGGACTTACTCAGTTAGCAGTTCTATTTTCAGAAGCAGAGGATAATCCCATGATTTAATCTCACCATTTAAAATCTAGTAAATGGATGAAAGAAGGTGAAGGGATCAGCCAAAAAACATATATTCATAACTCATAGACACAGACAACAGTGTGGTGATGACCAGAGGGAAGGGGGTGAGGGCTAGGTGGAGGTGGGCAAAGGGTGGGGAGGGAGAGAAATGGGGACATCTATAAACATCAACAACAAAAATAAAGTTAAAAATAAAATCTAGTAAATATATTTATCAAACAAAAAAAGAAGAAGTATATCACTAGGTCCAGTCCACATTCAAGGTGAGCAGGTCACACAAAGGGAGTGAGAAAACCAGGAGATGGGACCGTAGAGAGCAATGTTAGAAACTGCCTATCACAGGGCCCAATATTTAATCTATTTAGAGTTTAGTGTTAAGCAAAACTATTGAGCAGTTTAAGAAAAGACCAGATACACTTTTTTTGGTGTAGTTTTTTCAGGATGCAAGAGGTTTTCTAAGTGTCATGTGTGATATGCATGTTTAGGCATGATGAGAATTTGGATAAGCTAAGGGTGGATTTAAAGTTTTACTTTTCTACTTCATTTCTTCTCTTTTAGAGGAATGTCCTTGACCACTATCCTCCATGACTTCTGGCTTTGCTTCTGGAGGGTCTTCCTTGTCCACCCCTCTCCAAAAATACATCTTAAGTGGCCATAAGAGATGAAACCTTGGGGAGGGAGGGTGCAGAGTTCAAAGTTCACTTCCTCCTAGGGTAGATTTAGAGCCAGAGATGTTTCAGGGTTTGAACAATCATAGGCAATTCTATTGTAA